CATTTCATGCAACCGAATGCCCGAGATACGCAGCCGCGCATGTTAGCGTGGCAGAACGTGCAGTCGCCTTTGCCGGTTTGATAATTTTAATGGCGGTGAAAAAATAATTTGTATAGGTTTTTAAGCAAAATGTTCATATAAGATTATGTATTTTAATTAGTTGTATCTTCTTGTGTGCTAATAACCAATAATATGTTGAAATTTTGTTTAGGTGACGTTATTAAGATTTATACATAAAATTCCGGTTGACTGCTATAGAATGCCTATTGTCACTAAGTCCGCTAATTGTACGCTTTAATTGTGCAATGAAGTTTGAATACATGAATAAATTAATAAATGTGTAGGCTGGCAGTAGGTATTTATTTAGAATCTATAATTATTATGAATAATCCTGTTTTAAGCTAGGTATTACAAAATGTTACGAACCTCAAAAATTTTATAATTTTACATAAAACATTTTAGAATAATTGTGAATCAGTCGCCATCGAACATGTCCATCCATGGTAGATTTTTCAAACAAAAATCTCTAATTCGCAAATAAATATTAATATCGAATCCAATATACTTATCTAGTTTATTTAACTCATATCTGCAGTGCTATTGAGTAAAAATACAGGAGCGAATACAGCGCTGTCACAGCATTAAATGCTCAAGAAAATATAACCTACTCCAAAAGGTTAAAGGTTTTATTTGATTGTATATCGAATACCGTGACAAATTACTTTTGCAATATGATTAGTTTGACAAAAAAAAACAATTTCTCATTAGTTTCTACCAAAAGTTTCTTCTAATATATTTCAGGATTTAATTTACCTAAGCATGCTTTTAGCTGGCTAAAAAAAAGTGAAAACTCAGCTTACAATGCGAAAATAAATCAATAATTCAGCAACACAAGACATATTCTAAAAGCAAAAGTATCTCTTAAAATGTGTCTAGTGTCAATCGTAGCTTTTCCTTTCTGAAGTGGTGAAAACGTCGTCGTTCTGTTTAGTGCAACTACAACTTTCTCCTGGAATAAATCAATATGGCACAAAAATAACAACCATTATGACGGCTGCGGTAACAGTCTGCGGAAGTGATGATATTAATATACAATCTCTAACATTTTACAGAGTAGCTAATTTAAATAAGACGAATGATAATTGTATAGGTCTTGTACAAGCTCTTATGGAAAAACCGGTGAATGAAATAATAAAGTTAAATAAAAATAAAGAAAATTGTCAACAGGGCCATTATCATAAAAAATATTTAATTAATTGATACTCTTTTTAAATAAATAAAGGTATCTTATACAAGGTAGATCAAAACAATTTTTTTTTATTCTTTTATTGCTGTAGCAGTTTTATCTCAACTGAATTTTGTATCTACAAGAAACACTCCAAGGCGCCTTCGAGCTACGTCAAAATCCCACTCATATTATCATCATAAGCATACGTATCTGAGCTCTCATGATGTTACATTACAGTACAATAAAAACTCATTTTTAGGGTACCGTAACCAAAGGGTAAAACGGGAACTTTATTACTAAGATTTCGCTGTCTGCCTGTATGTCACCAGGCAGAAACCTTTAAAGTTGAAATCTTCCCAGATAATGTATTACTGTTGCCGCTAATCAACAAATACTAATAACAAATTTGGCATTGTAGAGACCAAACGGATTGACCAAGTTTGATTTTATACTTCAATTGACTTGTTTTAACCTTGCGAGTGTCAATAAACACATAACAGTAATCAAAATTCTTTTTTTAGGGCTTAGGTTACCTCCCCTACATTTGAATTGGCGATGATCTTTTACTTTTTCTACTTTCCTATAGTGTGGGATATTGTTGGTTAGGTCTTTAAAAGAAGTGTGCGAAGACCGCTTTTAAATGTAGTGAGCGGTTCGCAAATTATGTATTAAGCTTTTAAGAGCCAAGAACTACTTTGGACCGAGCTTTGGTTGACTTAAGTTCGAGAATTTTTGCTAAAGGTCAAACATATGCAGCTTTGAGCCGAGTGAGGTCTCTAGACTACTAATAACTAATAATCAATAGTTAAGACCACCGCAAATTGCTTAATAATCCTCACGATATAAACTCCCTAAATGAAATGACAAGGTTGTAAAATTTACCGTCTTATATATTTAATTACGAATGAAATGAGAATTAATTAAAGTGTAAAATAAAATTTTCATTATAAAAAATCAAAAAACCCGACTGCGTAAAAACAAAAGAAAGAAGTGAAAAAAATATATAATTACTTTCACTAAAAACTAAAAAGAAAATAACAAGTCCACTAGTTTGGAATGTTATTAAGTACTACTACATTTTATAATTTTGCCTTTTGTTACATTTGACCGCACTATTATACCATATTCAAAATCAGTTAAAAACCTCGGTGTGATTTTTGACCAGTGCCTTTCTTGGAAGCCTCACTTCGAATCGCTAAGGAAGCGAATGTTTGCCGCTTATAGCTCACTCAACCGTCTGCGCAACTTTTTGCCCACACACACGAAAATTGCCCTGGCTCATACCCTCTTGCTTTCAATCCTTGACTACGTTGATGTTTGTTACACTGATTTGTCGGAAGATCTTCTTAACAAGCTGGAGCGTCTGCAGAACTTGGGCATCCGATTCATCTTCAATCTCCGCAAATATGACCATGTGTCACACTTTCGCTCCAAACTAAACTGGCTCCCTATTCGCCGGCGCAGAGACTTACATCCTCTTACGCTCCTCTATTCCATCCTTTTTCTTCCTACGGCCCCTCCTTACCTTAAAAAATGCTTTTCCTTCCGAACCTCCTCTTCACAGTGTACTCTACGCTCATCTTTTAACTTAACCCTTAATATTCCTTGTCATACTTCCGATTTCTTATCCTACTCATTTTCCGTGCATGCGGTACGTCTTTGGAATTCTTTGCCTGAAGCTGTAAGAAAGGCTCGAACCTTAAATTGTTTTATTGTAAAAGTTAAAACACACTTTCTTGAAAACTGTTAATATGTTTAATGACTTTTTATCTTTATCTATTTTATTTACTATATTACATTATACAGATTTATCTATTTACTTCTCCATCTTGCACCCCCCTCTTTTTATTATATAGTTCAAGTTTTTTTTGCCTCGGGTTGCCTGGAAGAGATTGCTACGTAGCAATAAGGTCGCCCTTTGTAATCTTTCTCTTTTTTTTCTATCTTCTCTGTATTATGTCCTGTCTAGCGTGCAATAAAGAATATTATTATTATTATTAATTTCAATGTATATTACAAATTGTAGATCGAAATTACGGAGAAATTAGTGAACATACTTAAAAATCCATCAAACCTCGACCTTTTTTATTTTAAAGTCAGTTAAAAATATTTTTTATTTTTTTCCAAAAAATATATGTAAGCGGCAATATGTCAGACACGTTTTAGAGAAGTCCATCTTTAAATGATCAAAGTTTGGTCATATCGCCGCACTTTTACACTTTGAGTACTTCAGTATGTAACCGTGATTATCCATGTCAAACGTAATAAGATTACATTAAAAAAGAAATATTATGCAAAGCACTAAGGTTAGTTTAAAAATAATTTTATATGGTGGTTAAATATTCTTAAATTTTCAAATTTTCCGCACAATATTGTTATTATCTGTTTTCTTTCATAACAATCTTCTCCTAACAATAACAAATACATCAAAAAAAGAATTAGCGAAATCGGTCCAGCCGCTCACGTTACATAATAAGTTTCGGCTAGTTTACGCATTCTTCGACGAAGCTCTACCTTGCTCTACAACGGTGGCTTATGGTGTAAAGTAAGATGATTACAACACTAGACAATGTAAGCCATAGAAGCGTCACGTGACGCAAATGTGTGAATCTGCACGTGTGATGAAAAATGGAGCGAGGCTGTCGCGGCTAATTGATAAGCGCGAGCGGGGCCGCCGGCGGGAACGATAGCGAATTTTATAAAGCTTTAAACGATCATACATATTTACATTCATATAATATTAACAAACGAAATTTAGTAAAATTTTGAAACCGAACACATATTAGTATTTTTATAAGAAGTTCAAAGATATTTAAAAGGTTCATTTCACGCCAAAAAATTACCCCTCAATACACTGTATAGAACCTGAATGTAGTTTTATATACTTTGATGATATGTTCATGTGACTTATGGTGCATAATTTAGGTATATCTTTTCCTAAATGATGAATGATAATGATAACTCAATTGCCGCCTAATAACGGAACATCTTCAATTAAAATGATGTTTTTACGGGATTGCTACCCGGGATTTTTACAGGTTATTGTAATATTTTTTAATATGTTTTTGATTTGTTGTTAGATTGACACACATTTACAGAAAACACTTTAGTTAAAATTATTAAATATTAGTTACAACAAGAGATTTGTTAGTATTTTTGCATATTATATAATCTATGTATTTTTGTTGGTAATATTTCAAAAAATAAACAAGACTTAAATGTTTTTAACAAATATATGTATTTACGTTTATTCATTGAACATGTGTGAAATTATAAAATGTTATCTTAAAAAACTAAACTTCAAAATTTATATAATGACTTTTTCACCACAAATAGTCTCAACTCGTTTTCAAGCCACTGCTTTATGTGTTCAGTATGTACCTACCTCTAAAACCCTATGACTGATTCCGACTACAAATGATACATGGTCCTTCAAATAATGGTTTTGTCCTAATAAACGTACGTCAGGTATAATATAATAAACGCACGAATTATGTAAACGTTATTGTAAAATTTTATTTTTATCCTAGAAAAATAATCGAACAACTGTCTTAAATACTATTTTTATTATGATTGCAAAATGCAAAAATAAAATTCATTATAAATTTTTGATGAAGTCGTTCACTTTAGAATAAAATAGAATTCCACAATAGTGTATATTTGTCCATCTTCTTTAAGTAATATATTAAAAAAAGATAATTTTGTTTTTTTTTATATTGTATAGTTTATAATACATATTACAATAGATAAAGCGAAGTTAAAATATCTAAAAATGTTGAATAAGGTAAATCACGAAAGTAAAATTTTGGACCTCTCCACCTTCGATAAAATGAATACCTTTGTATAATGCAAAAAGTGATTACTTATCTGTATTCAAAATATACATTATTAAGGTTATATTTCGTTACGAGCATATGACACTAATGAAACAAAGAATTTCTAAATGCAAACAAATTAAAACTCTCCGTTATACAACAAATAATACATTAACGTAGTATGTGTCCTACTTTAAATCTTTTGTTAATATTTATTTAAGAATGACTACTTTCTTTCTTTTCTCTATTCTGTAACACATGTCGGACTATATTATGTAGGAGCTCGATGATTTACTTTCGCAGTGGTCGGTCACGGGATGAGTGACCAAAAAATTATTATGACTTTTGCGAAATTCGCTTCATTTCTGCATCGCAAATCTAACCCTTACCAAAGAAAATACAATACAAATAGAAAATTAAATATTTTTCCCTACACTTTCCATAGATGCTTCATTGGACTAGAAGAAAATACTATAAACATGCAACAAACAATTATTAATATTACAGAAATAGAGTAGTAGATTTTTCCCTACCAAACGTAACAGATTTTACTTACAATACTTAAAGAAATGATTCATAAGATACACAACAAGTTGTGCAACTGTCGATTACATGAAGAAGATGTTCTAGATTCTTTTTCTCATGTCTATTCTAATATTGAAAGTAGGTAAAGTCTCTAGGAGAATGTTGGGTAAGAGATATATAATATAACAACATATTCAAAAATCTTGCAATTTTTAGATAGTAAAAAAAGTAGGTTTACATCATAATTAAACATGAACAATATTAATATGTCCTTTAAAACATTAATTCAAATCTTATTTGATTTCTAATAGTATTATGTATATATTTGTCTTATTATTTATTTAAGAGCATTTCATAATCAACATTTTTTATTTTCAGATGGCGCATCGCACCGTGCGACTGATGTGCTTCGTTGCACTATTGGCGGCAGTAACTCCAGTTAAGGAACAAACAAGATGGTCACGCCAAATCAGTTCTTATACGGCTGATATAAGTGATTGGGTCCCATTAGCAGGCCCAGTGGAAAGAGAAACACGTGACCCCCATCCCTTACCACCGATTAAAAGACAGGCCGTTGCAGAACCAAGAATACTCACTGAACCATTTCCGGGATTCACGAGGCCGTCGGAATTTAGTCAAGACTCTTTTCCACAGAGAATGTACTTTAATTCTCCAGCAAATAGACAGTTATATCTCCAATCTGTTCCATCAGCTCCACAAAATTACTTATCTGACCAGGGTTTCGGACAGAGTGTGAGATTTGGCCTTTCACAACCCAACTTCCCTTTAAGTCAAGGATTCATCGCACCTCAATATACATTCGATAGCATACCTGCAGGTCCACCTTTGAAACCAAGACCTCCACCGCAATTGGCACCAAGTCCTGTCAAATTTGAAAGTTTTACGAAACAAGGTCTGCCATCATCACAGACAAAGCCATTCATTAGTCAATCTATAAAGACAAAGACCGAACCACCAAAATTCATCGATGGCTATCGTGCGGATAATATCAGCAATGACTTTGCTTTCAACCAAAAGAAAAAAGTACAGTCCTTGCAGAAAATTAAATTTGAAAACTATGACAAAAACCCAAAAATAGAAACAATACCTTCTAGACCTAAAGTAGAAAGGGAAGAGGTTCAACTACTTTATGTTCCGATCGAATCTTTGAACAGAGGACAATATAACTTCGGGGTACCTCTAGGCCAAGCGCAAAATATTAATAAAGACTTGTATACCCAAAATTTACCAAAACCTAATCCACTCAAGCAGGCATTTTCTAGTGAAATACAAAAACCAATAGCAAAACCTGTTGAAAGTTTTAATTCAAATCAAGCCTATTTTTCCAACTATGACCAAGCAGCGAAATTTTCAACGATTTCCACGCCTTTTCCAACATCGCTACCTGTCACACCAAAACCAAAGAAATTGAAACCTCATCAACCACCTTTAGCAATATTTATGAGTCAAGATTCCAGAAAAAGAAACCCTTTAAAAGTCGGAGACGTACTGTCATTACTGAAAAACGCTAATACAGTTGCCGTACTAGATACTGTTAACCCATTGAACGCACCCAAAGTATTCATTGGACCATCAACTTTAAACCCACCAGATAATTTTGTGAAATTTGAGCTACCTTACTTATCAAACATTGAAAACAGTGACAAAAAATTACGCCAGCTTCCATTTTTCGTTGCGCCACTAAGCTATAATACACCAAATGGTTTTGCAAAAATACCTTTTCCTTCACCACATGTAGGCTCTGTGGTTATTAATTCTCAAATAAGAGATTCAGGTGTTCAAGCAAATTCAGCATATTCAACTCAATCTACTCCAGCTGCTAATATCATACCTAATTCATACACGGCAACACCACAAAAACAAAACTTCGCTACTCAAAAGCCACAGTTTTCATACTACAGTACCGCAGCACCCAGTACGAATGCACCAAATAATCAGCATCTTCAATCAAATTACTATGCCCTTGAACAACAAACAGTAACAGCAATACCTCCCCAGAAACAAGAGGAAGCGAACATAAACGCTCTTCCACCGAAGCCAGAATCTTATTTCTTAACCAATGTTGGAAATCAATACAACCCTACAAAATATGTTAGTTACCCCACTAATATAAAACAAGAACCACTAAGTCAATACAATTTTGCTAAACCGGAAACATCGACAACGCCCAAAACGACCGTTACGACTACCACGACTTCAAAGCCTCCATCAACATATTCTAGTCAATTATTGGAAACTCACAACCCTTATTCAATAAACCAAGCGTTTCATTTTAGTACACCATTAGACTATCACAGTTATTATGACGACCTTAAAGAACCGTTTGTCAACCAAGGTGTAGAGAATACTCCGAAAATATCACCATCACCAACAGTTTCTCTTTCTAACGTTCCAAATAAACCAGAAGATGTAGTAACTGAGAAGCAACTCTACCAACAACAGACATCACCAAACTACTTACAAAATTATACACCTGAAATACATTACGAATCTGAAGGTGCAAATTCGAGACATCCCGTATATAACGGAAATGATTATACAACTAAGACCCAAGTATCGTCTGAAAATTACAAGATTGTAAATCAACCTGAAATTGAGCCAGTTCAACATAATCAACCAAACTTGTACAATGCTGTTTCTAATCAACCAACAACTTCACAAGAAACAGCCATCTATGATTCTCCAACTTACGAAAATTTAACGGAAATTAATATTAATAAAATAAATACTCCAATTGAAGACAATGGATCTCAATATTACAATCAATATGAAACAAATTATCAAACCGACAATGTTCAACACTCAAGCTCTACTTCCAGTTCAACAACGACTACTACAAGAAGGACGCCTCCTATTCGAACTAGAGGTAGACCAAGATATACAACTGCAAGGCCTGATTCTGGTGAATCAACGACAGTTAGATCTTCCATCACCCGGAGACCACTAAAAGAAAGACGCCCACTACCGTCACGAACAAAATATGAACCTAATAAAATAACAACTGAAAGAACAACGAGAAAATCTTTGGAGTCTGTAGAAAGTACTACAAAATATTCCAGAACAAGAACGAGAGGCCGAATTCACTACAAACCTTCTGAAAATGATGAATACTACTCCAAGAAAAACAAAATACAAAATAATAAGCAGGAAGATCTAGCATATCAAAGAGATGTTCTACATCAAAATTATCCAGTAACTTTAATGGAGAGAATGAGTACTGTTGACATAGAAGCGATGACAGAACCCGCACCTAACTTTTCTTCTACTAAGACAATGGGAAACGAAGGTGAAGTTTATGATACTGAAAATGCTTATGCTCACCAATCAGCATCTATAAGTTACCTTCAAAACGTAGGTTCAAGCGAAAACACCCCCATCTATAGCTCCGAAACAGAATATCAAACTGAAGCTGCAATCAATTCAAAGCTCCCATTAACGCGAAATGAGGATTATATTTATCAATCTAGAAGTAGTGTGACACCAATCGAGGCAATTTCTTCATTTGAAGATGCTAATGAAAAACAGGATATTCCTAAACCAACTACGGCTGAAATGATATCTTATACAACTGAACGAACAAGCTCAACCGCTGAAGAGTATCTTCCAAATCAGTCCATTAATAATGAATTTTCAACAAAACAAGAAGATTCACTAAATGAAGAAGTCAATACTAAAATTAGTAGTCAAGAAACGCATGAAACGGAAACAGAAGAGACTGTTGTACAAACAACACCATCTTACAACAGAGTAAGAATACGTCCTGGAGTTATTAGACAATATCATCATGCATCATCTACTGAAAGCACAAGAGCGAAGTCTGAAAGAAAGAAGATTCAAGCCATTACACATAGACCTGCTTACGATAGAAGACGAACAACTATGCGAATAGAAGAAATTGAAGCCGATTTAAAAACTAAACAAATTCATTCTCGCACTGAATTCCAAGATCATAAGCATCCTGTTTATAGGCCCGAACCCACAACTGAATCAATAATAACAACTCCATTTGAAAGTACCACTAAACGTGGACACTTTCGTAGAAGGCGACCAGGGTATACTACAACGTCAACTGAGGCAACTAGTACGAAGAAAAACGTGTATGAAACTAAAAACCGGTTCAGAGGTAGAAGACCAACTGAAAAACCAACTGAAAAACACGACGTAAAATCTGAAACTACCACAACAACAGTAAGAACCTCCCCTCATCAAAGATATAGTCACCGACCGAGGTTATCGGAGCGCTATAACAAAAAACCAGATAATAATGCTGAAGAAACAGAAGATCAGGAATCTAACTACTCCATTAATAGACCAAAATACGTTACACCAGAGAATGATCAATGGTCACCAAAGATTTCTGGAGACTCATTTAAACCATACAATCCAAATGACATTGTTGAAGATTCAAAGTTATCCACTACTGAACACAGAAATACTAACGCAGCACTAGACATTATAACAGCTAGAAATGACTACGATGATATTCTCATATCTGTCACACCAGCTACTAACACGAGGGCTATTAAAAAAATTCCTGATATTCCTCCTACTCTTGAGGCATTAGTGGAACAGAGTAAGACAACTAAAATGGAATCGAGTGATTCGATGTCGACCTTTGAAACAATGTTGGAAGAGGTTATGAAAAACTTGGAAGAACAAGATGAAGATGAATATACAAGTAACGTTATGAAACATAAGGGTGGTGAAATTGGTGAGATACCCCCAGAAAAAATAATAACAACTGAAGACGAATATATTCATAAAGCAACAGCTTCAGAACAAGAAATCACGACCACTGTTCCTGTAGACTATGAGGAAACCGACTTGGAAAAGGTAAAGCATTATCCTTAATAATAATAATTTTTAATTTATAGAGAATTTGTTTTTCCAATACTATTTAAATAATAAAATTTATAAATTAGTGACAATGACCTGAATTTTATGTTTTTTTTTAGCTTCTCAATTGTATTGAATTCAAAATATTTAGGCGCGTTAGGCGCATTTAGGCGCATTATATCCATATAGGCGCCTACTATAAGAGGATTACTTATCTGAACGTTTTTATTGCATGAGTCTTATTAAATAAATTATACTTTCAGGCACAACCGGACCACAAGGGACGTCGTCGTGGTTACTGGAAGAAGGTCAAGGTCCGTCCAATTAGCACAGAAACGATAGAGACAGCTGAATCACAATATTACACGAACACAGTTAACCGCCTTGGCGAACCTATAACATCGACCAAAAACTTACATGACAAAACAACTGGCAAAGGTAAATCAAAAATCGCTGTTACCACTTACAAGCCATCTAATCTTCAATTTATCAAGGACTTCTTTGAAACAGAGATTGATGATGAAAACCTCGATGGTGTCATTCCAACTGTCGATATACCTAAAATTGTCAAGAAACCAGTCGAAGTTAATGATGAAGCTAATGAAAAAGTTAAGAAAGAATATGATGTAACGACTGAGAAAATTGAAGGTCCGGGTGAAATAGATCTAGGTACCGGTTCCCCTGATCCAACAATAATGGACAGCATGTACTACAGCACACCAACAGAACCAACTTCTACTGAAGGTGATTTGTCTCTCCTAGATCGATCAGACAGCTTCAGTTTAATGGATTACTTTTTTGGAACTACAACTGAGTCAGAAAAGGATAAAGTGAAAAATAAAACTACCGTGAATGAAATAAAACAAAAACCGGACGTTGTTATAACCACTGAAAGAGTAAGTTTTAAATTACCAACAACTGAAAATAATTATGTGCCAGAGGAAATTACTACAATTCTATCTGAAGATAACATTGAGACAGTTACAGATTTCACTGACAGTCAAAAAATCAATGACGACAAACAAGAACAAGTCACTGAATCAGTAAAAGTTAAATCTTCGTCTGAATCCAGTTTCATGAATCCAGCTAATGTAGTCAGTACATCCATGTCAACAGAAATATCACATGAAACAGAAATATGCTTTAGAGGAAAATGCATTAAAACAAATAAAGACATTTTATAAAACGATAATGATTTATCGTAAGTTTGGTGCTAAAGACTTGTGTTCAAAGTAGTGAAAGTAATTAAGATGAAGTGTGGACAAATCAATCTCACAGAAGTTATAAATAAAGCCTAATACTCCGTAGCAAGCTTAGTCTTTCTTTTGATGCAAAAGCTAATAGGTATCTACTTATATTAGTAGAAATTATATGAATAAGTAGAGGACTTGGCTTGCTATTGGACTTAGTAGTAATATCTTTAATAGGAATATTTATTGTTAATTAACTTTAAGGAGACTATGGTGAAATCTTGTAAATAGCTTCTCTTTACTTGATTCCACCTATTTGTATTAATCATTAGACACTAACTTGTGATAAACTTTTAGAAAGTTTTTCTCAGTGTATTATATTAATATTAACAATTTGTACCTTTAATTATAAAATGCACATTAAGATATTTTAATATTTTTTGTAATATAATTATTTTGACTGAGCATATTTTTGTAACCGAATCTAATATTAAGCATCTTCTAATCTTTTTATTTATTTTTTTAAATATTCTTTAGACAATTAGGGCATTCTCAAGTTCAAGATGTAGGAATAATATTTTTATACTATTATATTCACCAGAAACCAAAAAAAAACTATTCTTCACTTAACGCCTGTCTGTTATAACGACGTTGCACTTTGTAATATAAATAAATCCAAAAATGTCTGTTTATAATTTTAATAAATAAAATATTTAAAATAAATTTGTTTTCCTCCATTTTAAAATCCAATCGTTAACATCTAATATGTACGAGTATTAAGCTGATAGTTTGAACTATTACTATTGAACTAATAGATATTTTGAAACAAACCAATATGTTTGATAAAATATATAAATAAATAAAAAAAGACAAACCTATATATAAGTTATTAGTATTATTCGATTTTTTTACATATGAATGAAATTAATTTATCAATTTTTTTTTTTAGTTATGGCCTTGTAATTTAACGTGAATTTAACTAATTTAATCATTTGACATCGAAGCTTGACATCGGCAGAATTGTGTCAAACGCGCAGATATGCCATTAATAAAAGAAGAAGTAGAACAATTAGAAATTCACTCTTTGTTCAATATTCGCCTCAACAGTCAAAAACCTATCATAGGCAGTATGGCTATGTACCTTCGCTTGTGTCATGAACGAAATAAACTATTACTGCTCAAAACCTGTCAAAGTCAAAGAACATTTGTCACTAGTACAAAAGGTGTATGTCCAGCGACTATCTCCAGACAAAATTCTACGCTCATATAAATATATTGAGATTTGGACATTGCCGAATTAAAGGTCAAACACCGTATGCATATGATAACATCTCCAGTATGTACCGAATTTTCAACTCAAGAAAACCAGATACTTGAACATATCTTTTTCTTATGCCCAAGCTACAATATCCAGCGATTCATTCTGATACATCACCTCCTGAAATCCCATTAAACTCTCCTTCCTTCCTTTCAGGATATCTTAGCTTGCCAAGAAAACTTTGTATCAATTTATGACTATATAATATTACCTTCAATCTTGGAGAAGACTGATTTGACCTCCGCGAATATGTAAATAATAACCAGAGGTCGGAATTAGGTATAGTTATTTATGTACTTGCATCGAAATGTTGATATTAATGTGGACCTTCCCGGGATTTCTAATGGACAATCCCGTGTGACCAACAATCTTACAACTAAATAATAATAACAACGTCAGAGATAGACAAATAAAACAAAGATAATGAACATAAAATTTTTATTAGTTTATATTAATTTACAATACAAATTGATGTAAGATGTCATTTATGTAAGTTTGGCAACGTCGTGCGTTCAATAGTTTAAATTGTGTAAAAGCAAATAACTTTTTATTTAAATAATCAGGGGATTTTTCTGCTCTTTAAAATTAATCTCGGGATTTGAGGCATATCCACTTTCTTCTTTCGCTGTATGAAATCAGTGTAAGTACATGAATAACTCCACCTAATTCCGACCACTGATAATAACCCTGAACAAAACAAAGAATTTCAAATCAAGAGTTTCCCGCTAGAAAATAAAATAATATTATAGATCTGGCTATCAAGCTTTTAAAATCGTAAGGAATTAAAAAAGAAGACAAGGGTTTTGCCTTATAAATGATTATAATTAATAATATAATATTCTCAAGACTTAGCAGTATGGCTAAGTTCCTTCGCCTGTCCCATGGACGAAATAACTATATACTGAAGAAGTTTAATATCATTTTTATAAACTGAAGACTTTTAACGCCATTTTTCAATACTTAGAAACTTAGAGTAAGTACTTATAGAGGGCTATTAGGCGTGCCACCGTAAGGGACAACAAATAAATCATCAGTGTTACTAGATAGTTAAATGTTCCTCGATTATGGGGAGATATTTTGTTATTAGCAAAGGAGGAATAATTTAGTCAGCATAATATGTAGAACTGTTCAGAAACTATCAACTTTTCTGCGATTTCACCAAATTATAGCTGTAGTCAACCACGTATGATGTAACTTCCCATGGATGAAAGGATTAGTAATAGAGCAACTTTTTTTTGTAGAAATATTGATACACTATCTATCATCTTAAATTAACTAGCACATTGAATCAATGGGCTTGGTTGCTGAAGTTTTCGAAATAAAATTAAATTTTACTAAATTAGAATATGCTCAAAAAAGTCTTATTTAGACAAACAAAACTATTTCGAAAATTTAATTCAACCAAAATTAAAAAAATATATATATAGACAATAAAAAAAACCGTTTAAAGGAGAATAACGTACCTATTCAATTATAAAATTATGTTTAGAAAGGCAAATAAGAAACATTGTGATGATGTTGGGCTAACGTCAGTCCAGCAGCGCCACTGTATGTTTACTCAATAGCTGTTAGAAAGACCATTTTTTAAAACCTTAGGTTATTTTAGAATGAAATAAAACATTGAAACTATTGACACAGGTTGATATTTAGTAGATCTTAGTAACCACAAAGTATTTTATCATTCTGACTAATCCAATCGAATATTTTAGTCTCATATTTAGTGACGAAATACTAATAAATAGATATCCAGAATCTTAATAATTATTGATCGAAAACAAATATGTAAGCCTGCAGAGATATTTGACTTTGATCAGTAATTACTCAGATTCTGGATTTCATTACTTCAAGACAGTATTAGCAGAGCACGTATTAGTGTTTTCGAGGTATGAGCGTTTGTGCACCACTGCCGTCGTATCCGTTATCCTGGTCGATTTCATAAAGAGACTTGACGGTTTTCGTTAGTCCACCACGATACTTCACTCAAATTCTAGAACCAGTCCCAGAAGATTTCTTATCTCAAACTAGAATATCTATAAAATAGCTATTGTCACGCGACATCGCTTGTGTAAACTGTAGCCTATGTCAACTGCGTATGGTGTAGCTACCCGTATGTGAAAGAGTTTTTAAAATCGGTTCAGTAATCTTAATAAAAATGCTTAAAAACCACTTTGTCCCTGGTAGTTTGAGATTGATCAAATATAATAATCGGTCCAGTGGTTTCGGAGCCTATTCGGTGTAAAAAATAAACAATAAAACCTTTAATTTTTATAATATTAAGTATAGATAAATAAACATTCAACATCACATACATGGCTCATATTGTAAGATGTATATTTTGGAGTACTAAACCCCGTATTTTGGAGTATCTGTGACAACAAAGGTACCATAATACTCAGAACTCCCAGACCCCAGACAATAAAGGAAAGTTAATTTTCAACATTTTTGGTTTTTTAATAATAAAAATTAGTGTAAATCATTACACCTGCAGACCTATTTTAATCTATTCTGCCGATGTACGCTGTTGAGTGTGTGAGATTTATTAAGAGCTATGACTTATTAGAAAAATCAATTAATAATTATAATGAAAATAATTATCAATTACTAAACCAATATTAAATAAAGTTACAGGTTGGGTGAAATCAAAGAGGGTACTAAAATAAAAAGCATTTTACTTCGTTTCCACAAAAATTTTACAAATAATTAGATATATCACATGTATTAATCACATATTGAAAATAGCAATTATGCTACTTATAAGTTAAAATAAACTTACTCGATCACAAAAAGTAAATAAATTGTCTACTTAACTGCAGCAAGTACACCAGAGTAATTAATCTAAATAAGTATTCGCCTAATACAATTAATACTATATAATGTTAAATATATTTAAAAGCCATTAAACAAAATTTGAATTCTTAATACATACTATTATAAATTAAAATTGGCTTTTATTTGGTTATCCAATCACAAATTAGAGCACAATTTTCTTTGTTACAGTGAATTCTTATCACACAAAAGATTTTTAAAAATATGAAAATGAATGTTAATATACAGTAAAATGATACATTATTATTATATTTTAATACAAAATAAAAAAAACATATTTTAGTGAGCTTACAATACCTACTCTTAAATCATAGATAAGAATTCTTAAAAAACATAATAACCAATATTATTTCACAATATATTTTCTAGCATTTCTTTATTATAAAGATACAAACAAATCATAATCAGTGTATTTCTAAAAGGATAGCACAGATAATATTTGAAGATTAGATTATGGCACAAATAAGTTATAATATTTATGAAGAATATGATCTGTGGTTCTGTCTACACAACACTAATAACCGATATGCGACTAAATTATGAACATCTCATATTTTTATACAACAATTATGGCATGGTAAATAAAAATTACTTAACAAGTGCAAAAAAACTATAACTCCACGAACAAATCAATATTTAAACTGACATAGTATTTAAAATTTCCTAGCAAGTATAGAGATATAGGATTAATTTTTAATGAAGGCAATTCTTATTTAATAATAACATTAAAAGTTTAAAACTTAGACTATCAGTATCTAGTATAAATTATGTATATTTTATTTTTCAAAAAGTCCAGTTTAGATTCTCAATCTAAAAAGGTTTTACATGGTTAATTAATATTGTATGAAACCAACAAAATAATACTAACATACAATATCTTATAGTTTCAGACTTTTCTATACTTACCATTCCTATTGTTACATTGTGTATATCCCTTTGAGGAAGGTATTATAAAAGTGGATTTATTAAGAAACAAAAATATCTCACTTGTATAATAAGTATTTAACTATTATATCTATTTAATAAAATCCTTATTATGTACTCAATGTTGTTTGTCTTCCTACATTTAAAAATAAATGTTTTTCAAAATGCATTGAACACACCCTGGCATGTCTTGAAGGCTTACAATTTGGTCTTCCGCAAGCTTCAATCCAATTTTGAAGTTCAGTTTCATTTATCAATCAATTTTGAAGTTCATGTTCATGTGATGAAAATCTAAAATATAAACACAATTACTAAAACACTTTTTTTTTAATATCAATTTTTAATTTGGAAAATTGAGGTCATCATTATGATAATAATATGATTGTCATATGGAATAACAATATTTTATGAAGAAAAAACACATTTGGCCGAGATTTATTGATAAAATTAGTTATATTATCTACTATAAACTCAAACATTTCTAACCAAATACATAGCACAATTTTTAGTGATTCTAAATACAGAAATGATATTCAATTAAGTCTAGAAAATGTAATTTAACATTACATTACAGTAAATTAAGCGGTATTTTAATAGTATCATGCAAAACTTTACTGAAAGGCTTTAAATGCTAATATTTTAGGTTACAAACTTGGATTTATTTTAATACAAAGTTTAAAAACTGCCCAATTGTTTTTTTAAATCCCATTTTGTAGTTCTATGTACTTTGAAAATAGTTGAGTTTCAAACATTTTGATATTTGTTTAACAGAATATTGATAATTTAATTTTAAAGCACTTTGAGGGGAGATTTTAAGCACTTAGATGTCAGCCTTAATGATTTGAGGTTATATTCTTATTCGACTTATTTAATAATATATTTAGCTTGTTTTGTGTCGTATTTAATAAAATTCACATCGGTTATGCCATTGAAAAATTTTACCTTACGAAGAAATAAACAAAATTCTTCTAACTTACCTGAAATATGATAGACCTACAATATTTCTTTCGGATCTATTTTTGCAAGATATAACACTGCACTTAACCATTATTTTAATTTGCAAGTAACGTTTCTTACATATAAACTTTATACATTATATAAAACATTGTTTAAATACACTTCTTTCCAACTTTTTTTGTATATATTTGAGTCCAACAATTTCTATGCCTAAAATCTTGACGTTTTGGTGCCAAACAAGCCTGGTGCCAAACAAAAAAACCGGCACGTCGATAAGGACAACAAATAATATTTTTGTCTCACTTTAACTAATGAAAATTGTAATAAGTCATTTCATTTCCCGATGAATGAGATAGAACATACCATTAGTCTATTGCTTTCTCTGTCTACGTACTGCTGCTACCTGTCAAGGTCAAAATAGGAATGTGACTTGGCCGGGGAAAAGATATTTTTTACATTAATAGATATTTATAAATGTAATGAGGAAGTATTTTAAGAAAAAAAAAGAAATTACTAAAAAAGCACCTCACTAGATGTCGACCCTAGCAAAAGTTGATTTTTGCAGGACACGAATGGACCAAAGATAGTTATTTTCGTTCCTTTTAACTAACATATTAAAAAACTGAAATGTAAGTTAAAAAATTATCAATACAAATACGAAAAAATTCAAACAGAATATGGGTTGTTTATTAAATTTTAAAAAATTAAAATTAAATTTTAAAAAATAAAATACGTGAATGAAAACCGGAAAGGTTGTCATGGAGAAATCAAGAAAGTACCGTAGCGACATCTAGTTTGATTTCGGGAACTAATGTTTTTTAAATACTTCCTCATTGTTTCTGTCTAGTAAGTTTTTGTTTTGCCGGACAAATAAAGATAATATTGGTAGTTTTTAATTATATAGAGAATATATTCAACCGCTTCTTGAATGTTTAATTGAGATGTTTTATGCATAACACCACAAGTAATAAACCGCAAACTCACCCGCACACTTAATCAACGGGTTTTCAATGTAATATTTATTAAAAACAAAGATTAAAATAAACGAGAAATAAATTTAAATCCACCGTTTATTAAAAATATCAAAGTACAGTACAGCTACTACTATTTAACCAACCGATTTTTCGAGTGTTGCCAAAATAAAATAGTATGTTTGTACAAGTAATTATATTACAAAGCTGCTGTTAAAACATTGAAAGTACAATGTGAAATACGAAATAAATAATCTATATAGTAGTTCCAAGTTTGGACCATTCAAAAAATAGAAAGTATGGTATGTAATAACAAAAAAAAATTGATAATTTTTCTAAGTCAAAACTAGGCAACCCTAAGTCAAAACCTAACCTTATTTATATTTTTTAGTCATTGCTGTTTTTCATAAATACATACCTACTAAGTCTGTGATAAATACAACAACACTCCTCCTACGTCTCAACTTATACTTTTGAGTGTAATATGGATATAGAAACTAAAATAAAAGAAGATATGAAATCTCTGGGTTGTAATTCGGATATGAAGATCGCATTGGCCTACCATTTGTACATATATTTGGTCGAAAAAAAACTAATGTACGATACAGAATACTGTTACAATAGAGATATAGACACGCTCTATATAGTAGCAAGACCCAGTAAAAACGAGAAAATTAATATCTACGTGCCAATTTCCACTTATGATGATATAAATTTGGAATTTATTAACATGGTACAAGAAAATTTATGTACTGTCGAAACTGGACCATCTATCAATCTTGCATTCATTGAAGGAGATTCTACAACGGTAATCTACACTTTTACAAAAGGTTTGGTAGAACGACCACCACCCGAGAAAATATCCAATATGAGGAAGAAGGAGGAACGAAGAAACTTTATTAATAGTGAATTGAAGAAATATAAGAACGATATTATGAATGACGCGTTAAATGGTGGTTTCGTTGACGATGATGATTGCCAAGTGTTAGACTGAAAAATTACACCCAAGTTTATGTGAACAAGTTCTCGATTAATCTTTTATGATGAAAGATTAACTTTATTAATTTATATCAATTGCTATCTTAATATTGAAACCCAACAGAAGATATTCACATCTTTTCACCTGTTGATAATAACTCAAAACGAAATCATTCTTAATTGTAGACCAGATATTGGTATTCATTTTAAGAGTGCATAAGAACGCAAACATTCTTGACTGGCAGAGGTGGATCTACCTAAGGGCTTGACAAGCTTAATCCCAGGGCCCTCTGGATACAAAAGGCCCTAAATCCCAATAAAAACAATATACAATATGGTACTTTTACATTAGGTACTATTGAAAACAGTTTCTTAACAACATTACAATTACCTCTGTAATTAATAGTCCCATGATTAGTATTAGGCCAGGGTCCCACAAATTGGTGAGAAAGATAATGTGTAAAAAGGATTTAAGTTTTATAATAATAAAAGAGACCACAAATATTGTGATTTTGTATACAGATGGTTCATGCTGAAACGGCACCTTGAAGAATTCTTTTGTCATTTGAAAAGTTATTTTTCTTGATAGGTATGAACTACTTTTCAACTAGATTGCAACATTTGTGAACACAGAAAGCAGGCTCGATTTTGACGTTGAGTGACGGACACACAGGAAGAACAAAAATATGATATGTGAAAGTACACATGTTTGCACACAATACAATAAACTTTTACAAAAGGTTAGATGATTCAGTAAATAAATGAGTTATAAGTGTACAATCATAGCATAACATGATACACTAAATATGTTCTAATCTCACACCAAGAACAAATGCTTTAACTTTGATATTTTTTTGTAAAGCCAATGAATGAATTTACTGTGCTGCTGTGTGTATACATCTAAATAATAGGATTTGCGTAGAACAATCAGATTTTTTTAATTATTGTAACTCAAAATCCGTGACCTCAATGTGGCTAACAAATACTACTTGTAAATCTATATATATATAGAATCCTTACATTACTGAGTGACTGACTGACTGACAGACATCATATAGCTGAAACTACTGAGTGTAGAAAGTTGAATTTGGCATGACGATTCCTTAGGAAATTAGAGGAGCAATAGAAGAGGGCTCTTGAAATTCCACCCCAATAGGGCTAAATGAGGGTATAAAAACTTCAGTACTACAACTTCGTGCAAGTTTCAGATTTTGCATGCGGGTTCTTTTTAGGACGTAGGTTCTCACTAAGACGGGACTTTACGAAATTCGACCCCTTTTGGGGGTAAATTATGGGATTACTATAACTGCTAGGAGTTTCAAATTTTGTATGCGGTTTCTTTTTAGGACGTAGGTGCTCACTAAGACAGGATTTTACGAAATTCAACCCCTAAGGGCCTAAATTAGGGGGTGAAAGTTTTTATGGAATTTTATTATTTCTGGACTTAAAACTAGTCCACGCTTGCGAAGTCGCAGGCAAAAGCTAGTAGGAAATAGATAAAGAAATGTGTGAGTCAGTAGAGTTATTCCATACTCCAGTTATAAAATAATAAATAAATAAAAATAAAAACAAAATTTAGGCGGGGAACCCGGCCGTTAAAGGAATACATACAAGAGAGAGATGTATGAATGAGTAGTATGCGGATTGGTAATACGAGAGGTAACACAAGGTAGAACTGAAAATACTGTAATGAATGTCCCAATTCCAGTTCTTACCTATGAATTTATTCATTACCATATCAATATGGAATTTTATGTTGCAGCCAAGTGGTATAATCAACTAACCTATTGGGCGACTAGCCCTTTTATTGAATGGTGCCATTCAATTTCATTAAAGGGCTAGCCGCCTAGCGACACATATATTTGATAAAAAAAAAGAAAGCACTAAAAAATCACCTCACTAGATGTCGACCCTAGCAAAAGTTGATTTTTGCAGGACACGAATGGACCAAAGATAGTTATTTGTTCCTGTACATATTAAAAAACTGAAATTTGCAAAGTTCAAAAACTTAGATATCAATACAAATACGAAAAAGTACAAATAGAATATGAGTTGTTTATTAAGTTTTCAAAATTAATTTACTTTTATACATAAAAGAAAACCGGAGGAGTTGTCATGGAGAAATCGAGAAAGTAATACCGTAGTGAAATCTAGGTTGATTTCGGGAACGATTTTTTTTTTAATCTTCGTCAGTACCTATGTAACCTTCCTTGATCATTGGTAGTATGTGTTTGATGTTATTCACTAACCAAAAATCCATTGATTTACTATCCTAATTTATGGAATAGTTTTAGAAATACTATAATGGCAATATTGGCTTTCAATTTTCGGCTAGGGTTTTTAGTCCAAAAATTGATGTTACTTACTCGGTATAGAATTAAAAGTATCGATGCTTACTTGTATCGAAAAGTTAAAATGACTCACGATCATCGTGATTTTTATAGATTTTTAGAGCACATTTGAAACTACTGATAGTCAATAGCAATACTCTGTTTACAAAAGAAAGAGAAGTACGGTATAAAAATGCTATGCATATAATGTTATAGTTAAAATTTCGTTAGCAATGCCATCTCCATTCCTCAGCTTTTTACCCGACTGCGCGACGCAAGGGAGGGTAATGTGTTCATCAGTCTATGTATGTATGTTTTATTTCATACAGAGCGTCAAAATTGAAAAATAACTTCATAGTAATGAAACTATTGATATTCATTTGAAGTGTTATTATTATAAAGATACACATAGAAAATGAATCTTTAGCAGGTCTTTATCAACAAGATTCCTTTTTCCTTCGGAAAATTACTTTTTTTTTCTATAATTTTTATAATAAATTATTATAATATCTATAGAATATATTTTGTTGTGTATGTTTAAGCGTGGTCTACCTACAAGTTCAGTTATTGCGAAGAGAAACGTATAGGGTAATTATTAACGTTATTTATCAAGAAAATAATTTGGTTTTTTAAAATATAGTTCTGTAGGGAATTTAATAAGCTATAATGTCATGTGAATCATAAAATTTTTAGACCCTCACCTTCAGAGAGTTTAAAGGTTGAAGGGATAATAATAGTACCCCTTGCATGCAAATAAAATATTATATAACCATATCTCATTCATATTTGAGCGATGTAAATTAAAAGATTATCAAAATATTCATCAAGTTTTGATACAAACCCCTTTTTGTAATGCATTACTTTTTGTGTTCTTTTGATAAGAACATAGTTTTTCCAAACCTTAAAAAGAAAACTTCCTATGAAACTATTTTCATAACGTAAGATTCCAAACCATTGAACCTTCTGGGACGTATAGCTGGGATGTAAATGAAGTTAATTCTTGATGAGCTATGTTTTCTGTTTAATTTTAATTTTATGCACCAAACTGATTGGTCATCTTTTATCAAAGCTTCAAACGACCCAGCTTATTTTTATCATACTTCGTAAATTTTTATGCGGAGCAATTTTATTATATGTATGTCTTTTTAAAGGCGCCTGTCATTTAATTAATAAACTACAGAAAACCTCCGCCTTTTGAGATAAGTATGTTTTTCACTTTTTTAAGTTTGAAGTAGCCTCTATTTTTTTTTACATTTTCAATCGCGTATGACTTGAAACAGTAGCGGCGTTAGGGTAGGGCGCGGTTGGGCGACCGCCCAGGGGCACTGGACGAAAAGGGGCGCCGAAGGCCGCGGCGCCCCTTTTTCGTCCGGCGCTTCTTTCTGATTCTGTATAATGAAGAAGGATTTTAATAAAAACGAAAGCACTACAAAAATACCTCCACCTAGATGGCGACTCTAGCAAAAGTAGATTTTTGCAGGAAACGAATGGAACAAAAACAGTCATTTCCGTTCATTTTAACTAACATATTAAAAAACTGAAACTTGAAAAGTTCGAAACTTAGATATCAATACAAATACGAAAAAGTACAAATATAATATGAGTTGTTAATTGAGTTTTGAAAACTAATTTACTTTTAAACATGAAAGAAAACTGGAAGGGTTGTCATGGAGAAACCAAGAACGTACCGTAGCGACATCTAGTTTGATTTCGGGAACTAATGTTTTTTTTTTCTAATACTACCTCATTTCCCACAGACGCCCTCTTAAGTTCCCTTGCTCATTCAACAAGGCCTACTGGGTCGGCGAAAAAAGAACAAGAACCTTGATGATTTTTTATTTTATTTTAAGTAAGTAAGTAAGGGAGCAAATTGTTCTATGATTACAGATGCTGCTCAGGATAAATCTGTTATTGATGTACAACAAATACATGTACTAGATGATGTTGATACTCTTTTCCCGAATATAGCGGATCCAGCTACTTGTTCATTTATTTGAAATAGCAAAATAATTGCTTATATAATAAGTAGTGGCCCACTGCAAACTCACTGTCACAAAGTTACAACAATTACACAAAGTTATAGATAACAATTATGTGACACCCTGTTAGGGTAAAATTGAATCTGTACTTACCTAATGATGTGATCCGTCAAAAATGAATCAGCTACTTATACGCTATTTTTATGTCTACTTTTTAAATAAAACTAATGTCACTATATAGTTGGAACAAGAACATCGTAACGTAGCGTTAAACGTTTGATTACTGTGTTTGTTTGTTTTAAAATAATCGAATAATTGTTTTAAGAGCGTCCACTTATGTCACGCAAGAAGATAATTCTTGATTGTGTTCTTCTTCGTCAAAAATTAAAAGAGATAGATCTAGGGAATCCCCGATTATAGAAAAACACATTGTTTCTGTATGGTCGGAAAGTCGGGGATTCCCGAGAAATTAAATCGATTGAACACTACTTTCCATTCTAATGCTGCCAACCTAACAATCTACCTAAATTTAGGGAAGATTACAAGTAAATAGGCCGGGTCGGCGAAAAAAAGTCAAGTAACTGATTTGTAGTATGTAGTAGTAACTGATTGTAATTGAATTGCAGTTAGAGGGCGCCGAAGAAATTTCGCCCAGGGCGCCAATAGTGCTAAAACCGGCACTGACTTGAAAACTACGGTTATGGGAAAACTTTATTCTTTGTTCTGTGGTATTCACCCCCAGGGTAAAAGCGCACATCGGTACTTAATCAATTTTGTTATTTGTATTACTTTAGAGCTACTGTCTAAATTTCAAATTTCTCGATGCAGATTTACAGAAAACGGAGGTGACTCCGTTGACTGACTGGACTACTGTACAAAGCGTAAAAATGGTAGGTC